TATACCATGGAACACAGTGAAGATCGTCATCTTCAAGTGGTGAAAATATGGCATAACTGTGGCATTGCCAAGAACTGGACGTCCCTCCAAAATTTATGAAAAAACGAGAAATAAACCAGTCTGGGAGGCCGCCAAGAGGCCTACAGCAACATTAAAGGAGCTGCAGGAATATTATTATTATTATACAGTATTTATATAGTGCTAAAAGGTTTGCTCAGCGCTGTACATTATAGTGGGGGACAGAACATGAGACAATACAGTAACAAAACAAAACACGAGGGATTCAAGGGTCCTGCTCTTTCGAGCTTACAATCTAGGAGGGAGGGGATAGTGGTACAGGAGGAAGTGGCAGTGGGGGATGGAGTGGTAGGAGGAGTGGAGGAGATCAGCTGTTAGGTGAGGGCAGGGTAGGCTTCCCTGAAGAGATGGGTTTTCAGGGCGCGCCTAAAGGTGAGGAGGGTAGGTGACAGTCTGATGGATTGGGGTAGTGAGTTCCAGAGGATGGGGGAAGTCCTGGAGAAGTCCTGCAGTCGAGCGTGGGAGGTGGAGACCAGGGAGTTAGAAAGTAGGAGGTCTTGTGAGGAGCGAAGATTACGGGTAGGGTGGTATTTGGGTATCAGGTCGGTGAGGTAGTTTGGGCCAGCATTATGAATGGCTTTGTATGTCAATGTTAGTAGTTTGAATTTAATGCGTTGAGCAATCGGGAGCCAGTGGAGGGAATGACAGGGGGGGTGGCAGAAGCAGAGCGGTTGGTAAGGTGGATGAGTTCAGGGATAGACTGAAGCGGGGATAGCCTGTGTTGGGGTAGGCCGGTGAGAAGGGAGTTGCAGTAGTCCAGACGTGAGATAATAAGGGAGTGAACGAGTTGTTTAGTAGTGTCTGGGGTTAGGAACAAACGCATTTTGGAGATGTTGTGGAGGTGGAACCTGCATAAGTTTGCCAACGATTGGACATGGGGTTGGAAGGACAGGTTTGAGTCTAGAGTGACACCTAGGACTTTGGCTTGTGGGGTGGGACTGATGGTAGCGTTGTTGGTCGTGAAGGAGAGGGGGGGGGCACGGGGTGGGGGGAAAATCAGGAGCTCGGTTTTGGAAAGGTTCAAATTGAGGAAATGGAGGGACATCCAGTCTGATATGTCGTTCAGTAGGTGGGTGATACGGGCGGAGACCTAAGGGGTAAGGTGAGGGGTGGAAAGGTAAATTTGAGTGTCATCGGTGTAGAGGTGATAGTTGAAGCCATGGGAGTGTATCAGTTTGCCGAGGGAGGAGGTGTAGATGGAGAAGAGAAGGGTCCCGAGGACCGAGCCTTGGGGGACCCCAACAGAGAGGGGGAGGTGGGTAGCGTTATAGGTAACGCTGAAGGAGCTTTGGGATAGATAGGAGGAGAGCCAGGAGAGAGTGGAGTCTCTGATGCCGAGGGAGTGAAGTTTGTTATGGAGGGGGTGGTCGACTGCGTCGAAGGCCATGTGATACATGTGACAACAATCTCCTGTATTCTTCATATGTCTGGGTTATGGGGTAGACTTATAAGACAGAAGCCTTTGCTTACGAAAAAAAAACATCCTAGCCCAGCTAGCTTTTGCAAAAACACATCTGAAGTGGAAAAATGTGTTCTGGTCTGATGAAACTAAGGTTGAACATTTTGGCCGTAATTTCAAAAGATATGTTTGGCGCAAAAACAACACTGCACATCACCAAAAGGACACCATACCCACAGTGAAGCAGGGTGGTGGCAGCATCATGCTTTGGGCCTGTTTTCCTTCAGCTGGAACTGGGGCCTTAGTCAAGGTAAAGGGAATTATGAACAGTTCCAAATACCAGTCAATATTGGCAGGTCAAAAAAAAACCTTCAGGATTCTGTTAGAAAGCTGAACATGAAGAGGACCTTCATCTTTCAGCATGACAATGGCATAAATCCAAATCAACAAAGGAATGGCTTCACCAGAAGAAGATTAAAGTATTGGAATCACCTAGCCAGAGCCCAGACTTGATTCTGATCGAAAATCTGTGGGGTGATCTGAAGAGGGCTGTGCACAGGAGACTCCCTCGTAATCTGACAGATCTGGAGTGTTTTTGAAAGAAATATCGCCAAGTCAAGATGTGCCATGCTGATAGACTCATACCCAAAAAGACTGAGTGCTGGAATAAAATCAAAAGGTGCTTCAACAAAGTATTAGTTTAAGGGTGTGCATACTTATTATTATTTTAGTTTTTTATTTTTACTTCCCTCCACCTAAAAGATTTCAGTTTGTTGTTCAACTGAGTTGTACAGTTTATAGGTTACATTAAAAAAGGTGGAAAAAGTTCTGAAATTATTTATCTTTGTCCCATTTTTTACATCACAGAAACCTGACATTTTAACAGGAGAGTGTAGACTTTTTATATCCACTGTGTTATGTTTTACCTTACTTTACACTAGCCATGATGAAGGACTGACATGTCCAAAATGCGTTGGCGTTTTTTAGCCTTGTACATGCTTCAATAAAAGATACAGTGGGGATCGAAAGTTTGGGCACCCCAGCTAAAAATTTGTATTAATGTGCATAAAGAAACCAAGGGAAAGATGGAAAAATCTCCAAAAGGCATCAAATTACAGATTAGACATTCTTATAATATGTCAACAAAAGTTAGATTTTTTTTCCATCATTTACACTTTCAAAATAACAGAAAACAAAAAAATGGCGTCTGCAAAAGTTTGGGCACCCTGCAGAGTTAATATCTTGTACTGCCCCCTTTGGCAAGTATCACAGCTTGTAAACACTTTTTGTAGCCAGCCAAGAGTCTTTCAATTCTTATTTGAGGTATCTTTGCCCATTCTTCCTTACAAAAGTCTTCCAGTTCTTTGAGATTTCTGGGCTGTCTGTCACGCACTGCTCTTTTAAGGTCTATCCATAGATTTTCAATTATGTTGAGGTCAGGAGATTGTGAAGGCCATGGCAAAACCTTCAGTTTACGCCTCTTGATGTAATCCCCCATGGATTTCGAGGTGTGTTTAGGATCATTATCCATTTGTAGAAGCCATCCTCTCTTTAACTTCAGCTTTTTCACAGATGGCATCAAGTTACCATCCAAAATTTGCTGAAATTTTATTGAATCCATTTTTCCTTCTACTCGTGAGATGTTCCCTGTGCCACTGGCTGCAACACAACCCCAAAGCATGGTTGATCCAACCCCATGCTTAACAGTTGGACAGAGGTTCTTTTCGTTAAATTCTGTGCCCTTCTTCTCCAAACGTACCCTTGCTCATTCCGGCCAAAAAGTTCAATTTTAACCTCATCGGTCCACAGAACTTGTTTCCAAAATGCACCAGGCTTGTCTATATGTTCATTTGCAAAGTTCAAACGATGATTTTTGTGGTGAGGACGTAGAAGAGGTTTTCTTCTGATGACTCTTCCATGAAGACCATATTTTTACAAGTTTCTCTTTATAGTGGAATAGTGTACCACAACTCCAGTGTCTGCCAGATCTTTCTGGAGGGATCGTGCAGTCAAACGTGGGTTTTGAATTGTTTTTCTCACAATCCTGTGAGCTGTTCTGTCTGATATTTTTCTTGGTCTTCCAGATCTTGCTTTAACTTCCACTGTTCCTGATGACTGCCATTTCTTAATTACATTCCGAACAGAGGATATTGACATTGAAAATGCTTTGCTATCTTCTTATAGCCTTCTCCAGCTTTGTGAGCGTCAACTATTTTCAGTTTCAGTTTTCTAGACAACTGCTTAGAAGAACCATGGTGCTGATTGTTGGGGCAAGGTCAGATGAGTCTGGGCATTTAAAACCTTTGAGATTGACATCACCTGGTCTTCCCAGACGATGATTGAGAACAATAAATGACACTGGCAGGTCTCAGCTTGGCAAAGGGGGCAGTGCATGCTATAAATTCTGCAGGGTGCCCAAACTTTTGCAGACGCCATTTTTTTGTTTTCTGTTATTTTGAAAGTGTAAATGATGGAAATAAAATCTAACTTTTGTTGACATATTATAAGAATGTCTAATCTGTAATTTGATGCCTTTTGGAGATTTTTCCATCTTTCCTTGGCTTCTTTTTGCACATTAATACAAATTTTTAGCTGGGGTGCCCAAACTTTCAATCCCCACTGTATATACAGTTGGATTTCATCCTGAATGCCAGCCTTTCCTGCACTTCATGTACTTGTGAAAGTTTTGGCTACTCTTGGGTCTGAGCACCGGCATGTCACATTATTACCAGACATTTTAAATCTGTACATTTTATCATAAATAAACAGCGTTTAAGTGGTATTAAACACAACGCTAAAAAATTACATATTGCAACTTACCAATCATTGGATGTGGTGACTGCATTAGTTTTCTTTTTAACCTTATATTCCCTGTTTTCACCTGGTGATCTGGCCAGTAACACACCTCTGTGTTACAGTGCCTCCACTCTGGATGAAGAAGCACAGGGCACCTTTGAACAGCAGCATTGTCAGTCTGGGGGGGAGGGGTGTTAGGTGGACTAGCAGATTCAAATACACTTATATATTGAAACTGAACTCCAGTTAACACTTTATAAGCAGTTACAGCAACAATGTTTCCTTTTGGGATAAAGGCTTTACATACATAAAAAACTGATCATTGTAATCACCCCTGCTAATGTTCAAAGGTTTGTCTCATCTCTGTAACTGATATATTCTGCTGGAGAGATTGCTCATTTTAAAAAAAAATGGACTTACTGGCTAGATCACAAGATAACAAAAGAAAAAAACCCTAAAAAAATAATGTGAATGTAGCCATCACATCTAAGAAATGTTAAGCTGCAATATAATAAATTGTTTGTTTTGGGGTTTAATACCGCTTTAACCACCTTCCGCCCGCCCTATAGTACAATGACGGCTGCAAGGTGGTTCTCTAGTTCTGATAGGACGTCATATGATGTCCTATCATTCTCACTGTGCATTCGCGGTTCAGGGAGCACACAGAGCGGCGATCTCTGGTGCGCTGTGTCCCTCGGAGATGTCGGCTCAGTCATGTGATCAGCTGTGTCCAATAACAGCTGATCCCATGTAAACAGGGAAATGCCAGTTATCGGCATATCTCTCCTCTCGAGCTGTCACACTGACAGCTCGAGAGGAGAGGAGAGCCGGTAATTGGCTTTCCGCGGAGGGGACATGTACACTGATCATCAGGGAACTGATGATCAGTGTGCCCTGATGATCAGTGTGGCCCCAGAAGTGTCACCTGTCAGTGCTCATCAGTGCCACGTGCCAGTGCCCATAAGTGCCACGTGCCAGTGCCCATCAGTGCCACATCAATGCCAGATATCAGTGCATACCAGTGCACATCAATGCCACATATCAGTGCCCATCTGAGCTGCCTTTCAGTGTCATCCATCAGTGCCAGTCAGTGCCACCTATCAATGCCAATTAGTGCCACCAATCAGTGCCACCTATCAGTGCCAGTCAGTGTCGCCTATCAGTGTGCATCAGTGCTGCCTAACAGTGCCAGTCAGTGCCGCCTAACAGTGCCAGTCAGTGCCGCCTATCAGTGCCAGTCAGTGCTGCCTATCAGTGCCATATATCAGTGCTGCCTTTCAGTGCCCATCAGTGATGCTTGTCAATGCCCATCAGTGCAACCTACCAGTGCCTCCTCATCAGTGCCACCTATCAGTGCCCATCAGTGCAGCCTATCAGTGCCCATCACTGCAGCCTCATTAGCACACACCAGTGAAGCTCTATCTCTCAAAAAAATGATAAAAATTTCATATGGGTACAGTGTTGCATGACCGCGCAATTGTCATTCAAAGTGTGACAGCGCTGAAAGCTGGAAATTGGCCTGGGCAGGAAGGGGGTATAAATGCCCTGTAGGCTAGTGGTTAAACTCCATGCAAGCAACTTAGTCTGATAGGTACATCTGGGAGGATAATGTCATCGTTCTGTTGCAGGCAGAAGAAGGCATTTCATCAGCCCAATTCCAAAGAAATCAAGGACTACAACACTTTAACTTAAGCCACAGGGTGAGAGGCAGCAGAAGGGGGCTAAGCTGCTAAATGGTATGAACACGCAGCAAAGAACCAGGGGTATGTAATCAATGTGCGTGTGGTGAACATGGGCCCTAAAGTTGTCAGAAGGCATACTATAATCTCTGTGAGAAGTAGTGTAGCGCTTCCCCCGCAGGGGCCACTTAATAATGCTTGTCCCCCATGGCTGCCCGGACCTTGCAAGCCTCTCAACACCTCTGACATTCTGGGTTCAGACATATTTCAACAGTATAGGACAGTGGTCGGCAAGCCGCGGCTCGCGAGCCACATGCGGCTCTTTACACACTTTAATGCGGCTCTTCTGTGTGCCGGGCGCCCGCTCCCCTCCCTCCTCTCGGGCGGCCGCCCCAAAAGTCAGGACTCTGCAGCTAGCCCAGCAATGGGCAAACTACGGCCCGGCGGACCTTTTAATCCGGCCCGCGGAGCGTGGCAAACATTGGCTGTCAGGATGTAGGCGGGGCAGCGTGACGAACTCCTCTCCTCTCACAGTCCGCCCTGAAGACCGGAACGGCGCGGAAACACAGCGAGAGGAACGTGCGGAGCAAAGGTAAGTGAATTGACACAATATGGGGAATGAATTACTATAGGGGGGATGAATTACTATAGGGGGGATGAATTACTATATGGGGGATGAATTACTATGGGGGATGAATTACTATATGGGGGATGAATTACTATGGGGGATGAATTACTATATGGGGGATGAATTACTATGGGGGATGAATTACTATATGGGGGATGAATTACTATGGGGGATGAATTACTATATGGGGGATGAATTACTATGGGGGATGAATTACTATATGGGGGATGTATTTTCAGTTTTAAAAATGTGGCTCTCAAATAAATTTCAATCGTGGTTTTGGCGAGATTTGGCTCAGTTGAAAAAAAAAGGTTGCCCACCACTGGTATAGGATAATAATGCAAAATACACAATTCTTTAATAACACCTCTATATTAGACTTGTTCAAAAGAGTAGGCCACAAAAATAATGGACGTAGAATATACAACCCCAATCACCGCATAAACACAGAACACTGGTAAAATAGAAATAATCAAATATCAACATTTAACAGATTATACAGTCATGAATTGTAAGCTTTAACAATAGCCCTAAAAGAGAAGAGGTCCCTTTAACTAAAGATTGCAACTTGAGTCCTGTGATGGTCAAAGTTCTTGCTATGGTGGCATCCATTGTCTTCTTCTAGCAATGGTGAGGACCATAAACATAAGTGAATATTGGTAATTTAATGAAGCTAAACAGACTGTAGTACTGCTCAAAGCAAAGATCTCTAAGTACTGAGGTGTAAATGTGTCTGTATGCAGAATGAGGTCGGGCATTCACCTGCTCGCCAATCCTATGAATTTCACGGCCTCCTAGGAGTTCTTGCCCAGGCTCTTGGCTGTTTGCAGGGATGTGCAGTTACTGCCTGATATCCTCTCAGCTGGGCGAGTAGAGATGTCTGTGTGAAGACCGGACAATGACAGTCCTGATGTAGAGAAGCTCAAGTGATCCTGTTTGGTGATCGGTGTTGCTGCTATGCTCAACAGATGTGCAGAGTCCTGCAGCAGTATTAGCCATCAATCTGTCTCTGGAGGAGAAGTGCAGTCCCCCCCGTGTTCAGCTCTGAATCCCACATCAAGAGAGGGAGCCAGTCCCTTACTGTACAATATATCTGCTTTCCCAGCATCCTTCTTGTTCCCCAGCTATCTGGTAGTTGTAATTCAATCAGCACGCTGGAATACAGTATGTATAGTCTATAGGACTACAGGTTCCAAGATCCTCTGCTGTCAGAAGAACTGGATCCACTCTGCTAACAGGAAGTGATGTAGCAGTCCCAGTACTGGGCACTAGGGGGAAAAGGATAAATCATAGTATAAGCCGTGTACCGGGGTGGGCTCCCCAGGATACAGTGAAGTCACGAACGAGGAAAGCAACCCCAACACCAGCTTTTGTCACAACAGAATTTTACTTAGATGTGGCAAATAAACAAAACCACAAATGCTGGAATATACAATAAATTTACATACACTCAGCCGAAAGGCTGAGACCCTTGTGCTGCACAGCACAGCACGGCGCCTTCTGATGGATGAAGGTAGAAAGTTTAGTAATTTACCTACTGGCGGGCACAACTAAGCTGCCACACCTTACCTGTTATTACCCTAAAAGAGCAGGAATCAGTGTATGGGTGTATGGTATGGGCTAGCCTGCAGTGCAGCACAACAGCTTACAATCTTACACAAATCTACAGTATTCCCTCCCCCATAACTGGTCCTGTAGCACATGCCTGAGTATTCCTTCTGAGCAAAACGCCAGTCTGGCTTGAGTTTGTAGCATTTTATAAGTTCTCCAATGTGAAATGTCACTTTAAGTTGTGGAGTCCTTCCAATGATCAGTAATTACACTTGTGGCCTGACACAGAGACCCTAAATAACTAACTATAGGCCTGTCTCAGTCTTATAGGCGCCAACACTGAAATGAGGTGCGTGCATAATTCTTACCGACCCGGGTTTGTATTGCAGCCGCTGATGACTCTCCACTAATCATGTGATATTATCAGCAATGTATTGAGTGAAGCTGATGGTGTTCAAGACGCTAATCCTGTTCAAAGAGAGGAAGATTTGCTGCCAGGAAGCTGATGAGGACAGAGGAGCAAAGCAGAGGAGGACAGAGGAGCAGGAGCTTTGCTCCTCTGTCCTCATCAGCTTCCTGGCAGCAAATCTTCCTCTCTTTGAACAGGATTAGCGTCTTGAACACCATCAGCTTCACTCAATGGGATTTCTGATTACGGAGGGCAGTCTTCACAGCTGGCTGGCAACGGATTCTCCGATCACTCAGCCTTCTTCTCTCTCTCTCCAGTATGGCCTCTCTTTTCTCTTCCTGATCACTCTCCTTGAGAAAACCCCACCCCTTATTAAATATAGAAATAGCTATGCAGTCTGAGGCTGTGTTAGAAACAGTGACATCTTGTGGCTAAACGGCAGAATGTCAGTCAGAACGTTTTTAATTTACTTCAATCAGTGTTCAAACAATGAAAGCTGTTTCCCCATCTCACAATAGTCTCATCTGTATTGTCTCTGAATGGCATAATGATATAGCCGACACCTGGCTACAGTAGTAAACACCAGTATGTATGCAACTTTACCATGCATATAAGTACATGAAATAAAATATCTAAAGCTAGTTACGCTTTATGAGTTTTTAATTTATTTTTCCTCTATCACTGCCTTGTCTATAAGTCGATTTGTTCTTTGCTCCAACAGATACATTGTGTTAGTTAAAATTAAAATTAGGCACAATATGTTGAGCAGAGAAATGGTGTTAGAAGATTCTCTATGGCAGAGCTGAGCAGGCAAGCAGCTGAAGGCCAGCACAAAGGAGAGTGATGCTTCCTCATTCATCCCTATTCCTAGTCATGTGACATCACATGACCAAGTGCAGTAGGCTATACTGTATATTGTTCATACAGCATTGATGCCCGCAACAGGTGGATCGGACAGCCTCTGCTGTTCCCCACCCAGGAGCAATGGTATCGCTCCATCAGGTTAGCTATGTCAGAAAGTGATGGAAATCCTACAAATCATAAACAGGTAGTCATTTATCTGTCATTTACTGTTGGCACTAGGGAAAGCCCAGAATAGGACCAATGTGTCATCTGCCATGGGCTCTGGGCACCATCTTAGGAGAACCTGTGACAAGTTCTGACACAGAACTCTCACAATGTATCTCCACAATTTGACAAACATTTGGCTCAATTTGTATCACCAACTATCACCAACCACTGGTGAGGGAAGGTTAGTCTCAACCTCACTCCTCACCCCGAAGGGTGGGATATCCCAGCAACACAGAGCCCTGTACATAGGGCAAAGTGTACTGGGAAAAATGGAAGGGGAAGTTGCAGGATTCTCTTTTGCCCTGAATTCCCTTAACTGCTTCCCGACCACCCTATAGCAGAAATACTGCTACAGGGTGGCACAGGTACGCAAAATCATGTATATATACTGTACATGATTTTGCATTTCTGGGTAGGGGGCATGCGCGCACCCTACCCGAGCCACCGTTCGTGGCTTTCAATCACCTGGTCTATGCTGGTGATTACTCGCCAGTAATCGGTAATTACCAAGGATCTCTGATGGGGAGGAGAACTGTTTTGTTTACTAACAGTTCTCCTCCCTGTCAGCTTGGGGACACTGCTTTGGATGGCTGTGCACAGCCATCCAAAGCAGTGTGCTTACAGTGAAGCACACAGACTGTCCCCCATAGTAAAACACACCCAGAACATAGTTAACCCTTTTGATCACCCCTCATGGTAACCCCTTCCTGCTCAGTGCCATTAGAACAGTGTCAGTGCTTTTTTTAGCACTGATCACTGTATTGGTGTCACTGGAGATGTCAGTAACACCAAGTCAGTTCCCCCCAGTGTCGGAATGCCTGCCACAGTCCCGCTATAAGTCGGTGATCCCAGCCATTAGTACTAAAAAAAAAAATCCCAGTATATATACCGCCATTTGTAAACGCTATAACTTTCACGTAAACCAATTAATTTACACGTATTGGGATTTTTTTTTAGCAAAGACATGTAGCAGAATATATTTCGGCCTACATTTATGACAAAATTAGATTTTTTACATTTTTTCCAGGACATGTTGAATAGCAAAATTTCAAAAATATTGTTTGTTTCTCAAAATTGTCAGTCTTTTTTTTTTATAGCGCAAAAAATAAAAACCGAATAGGCGATCAAATACCACCAAAAGAAAGCTCAATTTGTGGTAAAAAAATGACGTAAATTTCATTTGGGTGCAGCTTTGCATGACCTCGCACTTGTCAGTTAAAGTAACGCAGCGTCCATAAAGCAAAAAATGGCCTGGTCAGGAAGGGGGGTAAATCCTCTGGAGGGCAAGTGTTTTTTAAAGACTAGAATAAAATGGTAACACAATGCATAAACAAACTACAGTAGGAAGCTTAAAGTAGAAATAAAACTTTACAAAAGCCCACCCAAATGACTGGCCTCAGATGATATACAATCAGGAATCAAATCCTCCCACATAAGCTGTATCTCTCTTGGTTCACATCTGTGCGGGTGGTGCTGCTACAGACCCACACAAAAATATCTGCAGCCGCACCACCCGCACAGAGGAAAGCGGGACCCGCAGGCAGGTACCATTAATTCTAATGGCACGCCGCCCGCACTGGAAATCGCAAACCATACTGGGAACCTCAGTTCCCGTGCGGGCTGCGATTTCCGAAGAAGTGCAGGGACATCTTCCCTGCGTTTCATGGGGCACAGGAGTCCTTTCAAACGAAGGGGCTCTCGTGCCCACGTAAATCGCAGCCTGCACGGCCACACATATGTGAACGTAGTGTTAATCTGAACCACTTTCTTTTCTAGAGCCTTCTAAAGAGCTGATCATATTTTTTCAGCTTCCAGGTGGCAGGGGGTGGGGATCTGATGTTACACACTCCACAGCACAGAGCTGAATTTAATCTGACATCTGATTGGCAAGGAGTTGGGGTGGAGTGCCAGTTTGCCTGGCATTGGTGAAACTGTCACAACTGTCAGAAGTGACTCATGCAGATTGCAAGGGAAGGAGATAGGAGTCACGCTCTGCACTAGGTGCTATGGATTGAGGTAGTTACACACTATATGAGGATATGCTTTGTTTATTTTGCATTTCAAAGGTTTACAACCAGTTTAGGGGAGGTATCCCCTAAAAATCTGTATATTCTGTTCTACTGGATTAGGAATTGTTGTTTTTTTTTTTATTAAGGAACTGTCAGAATGCTCTTCATGGGTTACCCCCATTTCAGAGCTAGTGCCCGCTACATGCCTTCAGCTTTGTAAAGAAACCAATAAATGGCTGGCATGTTCAAGGATTGGTAGCTGCCATTAAGGTTCTATTCTAAATGCAGTTAATAACATTTTAACAGAAAGTGAGCGATTTCATAATACACACGTAAACAATTAACAAAATAGCTAAGCTAAAAAAAGACAAATGTCTACACAGAGAGGTTTTGTTTGCTTCTATTTTTGGACTGTTTTCTGGTATTTCTATTTTTAGATCAGTAAAATTATCTTAGTAATGGGAAAGTACTAAACAATGTACATTCAGCAGATTGTTTTGACTTTCGTTGAAGTTGAAAGGTTGAAAGGTATGTAACATTAAAACCGAAACAGTGGCCAATAAAATATATTTCAGCTGTGTTTACATGAATAAAAACCATTAAAAAAACATTGATTACACAAATATAAAGTTAATAAAAAATAACCTATACCAAATAAAGTCCACACCCAGTATCCACAAATAGCCTAAAGGGCTGGTAACGCATTGTATGAAACGTGCGTAGAATTCAAATGTTTGGTGCTCCCGACTTTCCAGACCACAGCACAGATAGACAGATCTCCTGCTGAGGCTACTGGAGCGTGAAAGTGCAGTCAGCATCCAATTCGATCCAGATGCTGTTTGGCACTGTGGCAGGCTGGGTAAGGGGGGGGGGGAGGACACCATGTTTTAATGCACCAGGTGTTCTGTCTCTCCAATCTAAGCATTGAAAGTGTGATCTCTGTAACTTACAGTTGTGATGAGATAGCAATAACTCCAATCTTAGTTGAATAACACAGGCAGTGACTCGACCCAGATGATACCTTGTAGATCTTGTGAAGTTTATTCCATAAACTGAGAGAATCTTACAACAATGAACATCTGATAGGTCAAAAGATCATAATGTGATCTGCTTCCATAAGAAATGAGGCTTGAAGCTGAAATGCATTACTGGGAAAAGGGGTGGGCTATCTATACAGCAAGAACTAAACCAAAGGAAAGGGAGGAGCAGAGACAAAATGCAAAGAACACTTAAAGGCATATGACAGTCATGTGAAACATGACACCAGGTGACACCAACCCTAGTGACCCCACTGGGTGTAATAGAGAAAAAGAATACCAACATAGACTAATGTAAAAGTAAAAATATAATAGCACTTGCATTGAAGTAAAAAATTTGATGCTCCCAACCTTCCAAACCACCAAAAGTGCCAACTTACTGGAAATATATAGTAGTAGCAATAACGTAGGTAGGCTTAAACAGTCTATGGGTCACAGCTGGGGGCCATGAAACAATCTGAACACAGATAACGGCAGAATGGAAGAGTTTATGGTTCATAGCTGAGGACCATAAAATAGCTTGAGTACAGAAAGGAAAACTGGAACAACCCACGGCTTAAAAGTAAATAGTAGCTTGAGTAGAAAAAGACAGACAGGAACAGTTCATGGTTCACAGCTGGGGACCACAAAGTAGCTTGAGATTAGGTAAAGAGGCTCTACTCACAGGAACCTGGCACACAGTTTGTTCATAGGTGCGGCCTCTGGTAAAGTAGTCCAGTATTCAGTCTAAAGGGGCAAGCACCCCCCTTACCCCCTTCCTCACAGCTCACAGATCCATCTCCTCAGGGGGAAAAAAAGCAGTCTTCTCAGGGCTACAGTCTATTTAACAGCATCCTAACCACCATCTGGGCACACCTCCCCACGGATCGGCTAGGCCCTGATCAATATTCAGGCTGGTCATTTGAATTTGCCCTCCCTAAGTTCCACAAACTTCTTCTAGAGACTGGGGGGAAGCAATCAAATTCTCAGCCTTTGAAGTCCTGAAAAGACCAAGCCAAACAACCACTGCTCCTCTGATTACAGAGCAATTCAAAAACTAAATTTACATAATAGCCTAACTAGGAGGATGCCACACTAATTTACCAGCCATGTGGGTGAGTGGCCCTGAATGCAGATAGTTACCCACTTACCCTCACAACTGTCAAATTGGGATGAGTGACTGTGTATCCCAATAGATATAAATAGGTTGCCTACACAGTACCTGCCGGTAAAGCTGCAAAAACAAGGTACTCTTTCAAAAACTATGGATGCCAGAATCTGTCTTAATGAGGTCTAAGAGGACTAAAAAATAAGTATTGTTTTACCAAAATTTCTCACAGTTTATAGTGTACCTAAACCCAAGAACAAAATGTAATGTACTGCAACTTACCAGTCTAGATTTGATGACTGCACTAGTGTACTTGTTTGCAGGCTTCTTATCCATTTATTTTCATTTGGTGATCCATTTACACACTTGTGGTCCAGGGTGACAACACTTGTTGTACTGTATCTATGAAAAAGAAGACAATTCTGTCAAGAGGCTAGGACTACAAAATAGCTACCTTCTCCTAACTTCCATAAGGTAATGTCACACAGGGATCCTCTCTTGACAGGCCAGCAGAATAAATTCTAACCGTTTCCATGAATTGCACTCTTGCTGGCCAGATAAGTGTGCTCTCACTGATAAGTAACAGAAAGATAGAGACAGGAAGAATTTACCACAGAGATTCTAGTCTTGAATTTTGCCTAACCAGTAATTATTCCAGAAGTGAGTCCCTTGTGAAAGGATCACGCATTCATCGCCACTGTCAAAGGTCTGCCAGATTAACCATATCAATTTATTATCTATATAGGGGGTGGCAGACATTATATTAAGCATATCCTATTAACCCAGCTAGTTCACGAGCCACCCTAATTAAGGACTCTATTTACTTAGGGAATGCTGTTTCAATATATGATTTCTCAAAATTAATAACAGAACAGAGCTAAATAAAGATACAAAATATGGGCCAGGCTAACTCTAAAGTTTAAGACCTTGGAAATAAAGCCTAGTCCTACAACTTCAGAAGAACGAGTCTTCCGGTGTCAACACCAGACATAGGGCTAGCAATATGAAACAAATTAATTCCTTTTTCCGTGGCAGCATACATATGATAGAGCTTGCCCCTAACTCCACCCACGGGATCAATTTAAATCTATAAAATGAAAAAAAGAGAGACCCAGCACATCACTCAAAAGAAAGTATTGTCACGTTCAGGGGGTAAGACCATTTGTGACTGTAACTCAAGAACTAGTGTGCCAATGGCAACAACTAAACAGGTGTACCCGAGTACCTGACATCTGATTGGAGGGCATGGACACCCCCTCTACACAGCCTCATCAGGAAATATGTACACGGTGTGGAAACTAGCATCACTGGTAGAGCTTTTGAAGCACACAGTCATTCGCTTTTCTTCTCTTTAAAGGCCGTTTTTGCCCAATTTTATTTAAAAGAAAGTTCCATACAATATAGGTTTCCCACACAGGGGTATCCAACATCAATACAAACAAAACAAAGATTCAGCCTCCTGGCTCTCTCAGGTATACAGCCCCTTGCTGCTGTGGCTCCCACCTCTCCTAGATGGAGCCCTCCTGACTCTTGGGCAACCACCTCCTGTCTGCTGGGGTGGAGCCTAGAACCATGGTTTGACCTCTACAAAAAGGCCTGCACACACCTGTGCAATTAGTTTCTAAAAACATGGACCCAGGAATGGAGATTTCATCCCTCCCAAATCACTTCGAAATCTCCAGGCCCCAGGTGTCAATACGGGCTTTACGAACC